AAATTAAACATGGGACAAATTTGGGGTCGGGGTGTTACATTCCCACTACGAAAGGGTAATCTTTAGGTGTCCTTGGGGTGGCTGCCTTGCCCTGCAAGCCTGAAATAGTAGAAGTCATCTTGCTTACAATTTCAGTGTCTTCATTGTAACTCTCGTCGCACATCTTCCTTATCTAGGATCTTTGCATACCTTTCAAACTCATAATCATTTTTAGGGTTTTTAACTGTAGATGTCCCTGAACTTTGCCCCCAATTGCAGTTGAGTCAGTGAACTTTTTTTTAGGCAATTACATCATTTTACTTCACAAATTGTCACAATTGGGTCCTACCATCCAAGTTTTTCAATTTGTCCTTCAAAAGGAGGGGTAAAAGCATCCTTTTGAGCTGCATAGGTAATTGTTTTAAGGGTTTTTAACTGTAGACGTCTCTGAACTTTGCCCCCAGTTGCAATTGGGTCCGTGAACTTGTTTTTTTTTTTTTTGGTGGCAATTAGTCCTTTAACTCGACAAGTAATACCAATTGAGTCCTACCGTACCAGAATCCATCCCTCTTTCTTTCTTTCTTTCTCTCTCTCTCTCTCTCTCTCTCTCTCTCTCTCTCTCTCTCTCAGCTCTCCCTCTCTATCTCTCCTTAGCCCACCCCCTTAAAACCCAAATCCCAGCCCAACCTACAACCCACCCCCCCATCTCCCAACCCGCAGAAGCCAGAACCCACCTGCAACCCCATCCCCTTAAGCTCTCCTCCTCCACTGCCGCCGTAACGACGGCGACGCCCTTGAAGCTAGAATGAACACCACTGCAACAGCTAGCTACACCACGGTGTTGGTCAACATGGCCAAATCCAACAACACCTTCAAAACCACCGCCGTCGACGTGGAGAGGATTGAGAAGTTCTTTGCGAGCTTACGGTCTTCGACTTTTGCCTCAAACCCGTCTTTTGTGGTTTCTAAGTTTTTAGCTCTTTTACTCTGTTACGGCAGGACTCAATTGGAACTACTTGTCTAATTAAAAGTTGTAATTGCCTCAAAAAGAAGTTCACGGACCAACTGCAACTGGGAGCAAATTTCAGGAACGTCTATAGTTAAAAACCCTTAAAACAATTACCTCTGTAGCACAAAAGGATGCTTTTACCCCTCATTTTGATGGAAAAATTGGCAGACTTGGATGGTAGGACCTAATTGGAACTATTTATTGAGTTAACGGATGTAATTGCCTCAAAAAAAAGTTCACGGACCCAATTACAACTGGGGGCCAAGTTCAGAAACGTCTACAATAAATAACCCTTCAATTCATATATGCTTAATTGAGTAAAATTGAGGGAAGTATAATGGATGCCACAGGCCATGGCTTCAAGAGCAGTTGTCACACCAATCCTTTGAGAATTGAGCGAAATCTGCATCTCTATCACACAAACACACACACACACACAAAGAGTTCAAAAGTTAATGGAAATGGAAGACTACCAAGACTTTATCTCTTTTTGTTTCTTTCTTACTGTTTTTCTTCTTCACTCTCATTCTATCAATCATCACATCACAAATAAAAAATTAAACAACAAATAGATAAAGAGATTGATAACCTGGTAGCACAATTGTGGACCAGCATTAGGAGAACATACTTTTGTTTCACAAAAAGGTGAAACCGTGATCCATTGTTCTTGTCATTTTAGTAATAAACATATATACATGTCATGTTTGAGTAGTGGCAAATAAGGACATATTTGTCATTTATTTATTTATTCAACAACTGTCATTCATTAGATTTGAACTTACAAACTCATCAATATAAGAGTAGCAGAGAAGAAACAAAAAACTCAAAAACCACAAGTTTTGCCAAAACTAGAAAAGGACTTGAAGCAGTCACCATGTTTGGTTGTCTAAAAAATGAAACTTAAAATAATTTGAAATTGTACCGTCGAAGATCAAGATGCAAAACTCTAGAAAATAGAGGCATAATCAATTCAAATATCACCAAATAATAAAATATAACGTTGCGGATTACCAGAATAATACTTAAGAGTAAGAAAAATACATGGTATAACAAACTAAAACATTCAAGATAATTAATTAAGAAAAATACCTCCTGGATTTATGCAAATCTACATACAAACTACATATATATATATATATATATATATATATAAAGCAAAATGCAGAGGATGGTGAAATATTCAAAATACCAGAAAATGTTCTTGGTTAATGTAAATATTAAAAATTAAAATTATTAATTAAATGAGAATAATATGATAAATTTATATTTTTTCATATTAAAAAAATTAAAATTAAAAGAAAAATAAATAATAAATCATATTTTTATAAATACAAATACCCATTATCTTTTTTAATTCTAAAATAAATTTAACTTAAAAAAAAAAAACCTCATGTAGGCGTGGAATCACGTGTAAAAGGCTATAATTAAGAAATTCAACGGTAAACAATAAAAAACCATAATTAAATAATTAAGAAGTTAAAAACTACATCTGATGGGGTAGCTATTCCGTGGAGCAGGTCCTATGTATAATGTACCTCTCTCTCCTCACAGTGAGGTGGGTTTTATGTTTGCGGGTCCCATCGTTGTTTATAATTCGGCATTTAGTTATTGCGTTCGGAAATTTTTTGTTTTCGCGTTCTTCTTCTCCATCTCCAACAGTCCAAAGAAATTACTGAACCATCTGAGAGAGAGAGAGAAGCAATGGAGCCGGCGGATCAACCGTCGATAAAATTCGGGACCCAAGAGGCGCTCTCGCACGTGCGAGCCCTGACAGACGTGGGAGCGATGACGCGCCTCCTCCACGAGTGCATAGCCTACCAGCGATCCCTAGATCTGGACCTTGACAGCCTCCTCTCCCAGCGCACCGACCTCGACAAGCAGCTCCTCAGCCTCCACAGCTCCTCGCAGGTCCTTCACATCGTCAAGGCCGACTCCGATCACGTGCTCGCCAACGTCACCTCCACGTGCGACCTCGCCGACCAAGTCAGCGCCAAGGTACGCGAGCTCGACCTCGCCCAGTCCAAGCAAGCCCTCGACGCCCAGGACTACGAGTCTGCCGCCAAGTACGTGCAGCGTTTCATTCAGATTGACTCCGAGTACAAGAACTCGGGCGGCTCCGAGCAGCGAGAGCAGCTCATGGAGTCGAAGCGGCAGCTCGAGTCGATCGTCAGGAGGAAGCTCTCTGAGGCCGTGGAACAGAGGGAGCATCCTACCGTGTTGAGATTTATCAGGCTTTACACTCCGCTGGGTTTGGAGACGGAGGGCTTGCAGGTTTACGTGGGTTATTTGAGGAAGGTAATTGGGATGAGATCCAGGCTCGAGTTTGAGCACTTGGTGGAGCTTATGGAGCAGAACAATCCAACCCAGGCGGTCAATTTTGTTGGGTGTTTGACCAATTTGTTCAAGGACATTGTTTTGGCTGTTGAAGATAACGATGAGATTCTGAGAGGCCTTTGTGGGGAAGATGGGGTTGTTTACGCCATTTGTGAGCTTCAGGAGGAGTGTGATACGAGGGGTAGTTTGATTTTGAAGAAGTACATGGAGTATAGGAGATTGCCCAAGTTGAGCTCGGAGATTAATTCCCAGAACAAGAATTTGCTTGATGTTGGTGGTGTTGGGTCCGAGGGGCCTGATCCTAGAGAGGTTGAGCTCTTCTTGGAAGAGATACTGTCTTTGATGCAATTGGGTGAGGATTATACTGAGTTCATGGTGTCTAAGGTCAAGGGATTGACGAATGTTGACCCGGATTTAGGACCAAGAGCCACTAAGGCTTTTAGGAGTGGAAGTTTTAGCAAGGTGGTTCAGGAAATTACTGGGTTTTATGTCATATTAGAGGGTTTCTTTATGGTGGAGAATGTGAGGAAGGCTATAAGAATTGATGAGCATGTGCTTGACAGTCTCACGACTTCGATGGTCGATGATGTTTTCTATGTTTTGCAGAGTTGCTTAAGAAGGGCGATATCCACTTCGAATATCAGCTCTGTGATTGCTGTGTTGAGTGTCGCGAGTAGCTTGTTGAGCAATGAGTACCACGAGGCTTTGCAACAGAAGATGAGAGAGCCCAATCTTGGTGCAAAGCTGTTTTTGGGTGGTGTTGGTGTGCATAAGACTGGGACGGAGATTGCCACTGTTTTGAATAATATGGATGTCAGTAGTGAATATGTCCTCAAATTGAAGCACGAGATTGAGGAGCAATGCTTAGAGGTAATTGAAATGCTTTAGTTTACTCTGTGCTTTACTTTTCAAGATTTGTGACATGAATAACAGCTACACTGTTTAGGCAAGTCTTTGGCTTACATTTTAACTTGCTTTGTAGTAGGTTGAAGCCCCAAAGCCGTCTTGCGTAATTAGTTTAACACAATCCTCCATTTAACTTGAGTTTGTCCCCCTCTAGTGATCGGATTTCCTGTAGTGTGAGATTCGTTTTCCAATGGCTTTGTCAATCTTTGCTAACATAATTAGAACCTACTGACTATAACACTTTACAGTGGGAACAGAACATTTGTCCCTAATACTAATAGGATGTGGAGCTTGATGTGGTGCAGACATAATTTTGAAGAGAAAGTGTGTGGTTTGTATATTGATGAACACCTGACAGTGCTGCTTAGTACTCTTAACTAATATTTTTTTTAAAGATTGCTTTGCTAAATTTCATTTTGGTTGCTGCCGTTGCAGGCTTATTTATGTGGTGAAACTTTATAGTTAAGGTTTCTTATCTGTTGCCCACTAGGTTGATGGATCATGCTGCTGTTGTATTTTATTTATTGTGCATGATCTGTTGCCTTTACTTTCTTAATCCTTGTTATTTTTCTTTTTCTTTTTGTTATTTTTACCCAAATTCATGTGCATAGAAATGAAGAGTCAAGAGAGCATTGTAACTCAGTGAGGCAGATTAGCATTTCTCCAATCCAAGCCCCATTTGTTACTTGTTGCCTATTGGTTATTTAATTCAGTAGATATGGAAATAGTCATTAAGAGCTACGTTTCATAAAATGGCTTCGACTACATGCTAAAAAGTTTTAGTTTCAATATATCATGCTTGTGGTACCTTCTTGGCTGTAAACTCTAGCAAACGTTTATCCATCTTGGTAGGTCACATCTTCCTTGTTAGTTGCTTTAATATGATGTTGTATACACTAGCAAATGCGCTGGCTATTAATGTTTGGGCTTCTTTTATATCCATCTTGGTCTCTTGGGTTCATTCTAGATGTTATCATCTGATGTGATCATCCTTTTTGTTGGATTGTAATGTTTTTTTCCCTA